CCCCATCTTGTGGCCCATCCCCTCGAGAGGTGTGGGAAGAGATACTGCCAGTGAAGACTGAGGCAAAGAATTTGTTGAGTACCACAGCCTTCTCCTTATCGTTGTTACCAGTTTTCCAGTCTTCCTCATCAAGGGGGGTACGTTTTCTCTGACCTTCCTTTTCTGGCTGACATACCTGTAGAAGCCTTCTTGTTATTCTTTGCATCCTTTGCCAAGTTAAGCTCCAGTCATGCCATGGTCTGCTGTCATGGTTTAACCCCAGCCAGCAACCAAGCCCCACGCAGCTGCTCACTCTCTCCCCCATGGTGGGATGGGGGAGAGAATCAGAGGAGTAAAAGTGAGGAAACTCATGGTTTGAGATAAAGATCAGTTCAATAGGTAAAGCAAAAGCCGCACACGCAAGCAGAGCAAAACAAGGAATTCATTCCCCACTCCCCATGGGCAGGCGGGGGTTCAGCCATCTCCAGGGAAGCAGACCTCCGTCACGCGTGACGGTTACTTGGCAAAACAGACACCATAACTCTGAATGTCCCTCCACCCCTTCCTTCTTCTTCACCCCACCTTTATATACTGAGCATGATGTCATATAGTATGGAATATCTCTTTGGCCAGCCTGGGTCAGCTGTCCCAGCTGTGTCCCCTCCCAGCTTCCCGTGCACCCCCAGCCTTCTTGCTAGGAGGCCAGCACGAGAAGCTGGACTGTCCTTGACTGCTTAGCGACAACTCAAAACATCAGCACCTTATCAACATTTTCTTATCCCAAATCCAAAACATAGACTCACGCTAGCTTCTGTGAAGGAAATTAACTCCATCCTGGCTGAAAGCAGGACACCTTCCTAACCCCATCCCTACACAACTGGGCAGTGTCCCTGTACTGTTCCAAGGATACCTCTCCCTGCTTCCACTGCATGTGCATTTCCTTCTTGTTCTTTAGTTTGACCAACAGGTCTTGACTCAGCCATGCCAGACTCTTGCCTTCCTTTCCTGATTTCTTACACCTGGGGACTGAGAGCTCTTGCACTCTGTGGAAAACGACCTTAAAGATCTGCCGGCTCTGTTCTGCTCCCTTGTACCTGAGGGCAATTTCCTAGGAGGTCCTATTGACTAACTCCCTGAAGAGCTGGAATTTTTCTCTCCTAAAATTCAGGGTCTTGATTTTACTTTTGGTCTGCCCCATAATCCTCAGGACTGCAAACTCCACCAGTGCATGATCACTGCAGCCCAGGTTGCCTCCAATCTTGACATTGCCAATTAGCTCACTTGCGTTGGTGACCAATAGGTCTAGTATCGCGTCCCCTCTGATAGGGCTATCTATTACCTGGCTTAAGAACTTATCCTCGATGTATTCCAGGAGTCTTCTGGACTGCCTACAGCTCACTATGCTACTTTTCCAGCAGATGTTGGGGTGGTTGAAGTCCCCCAGCAGGATGAGAGCCTGCAAGTGCGATGTGTCTTGTAGCTGGAGTGAGAAGCTTCTTTAATAGGCTCCCCTTGATTAGGCAGCCTGTAGTAGACACCAACCACAAGGTTCCCTCAGTCTCTGATTCTTACCCATAAGCTTTCGACCTGCTCATGGCTATTCCTCAGAGACAGCTCTTCACATTCTAGCCATTTCTTGACGTAGAGGGCAATGCCTCTGCCCTTCCTTCCTCACCTGTCCCTTCTGAACAGCCTGTAGCCATCGATAGCCACAGTCCCATCGTGGGATTTGTCCCACCAAGTTTCAGTAATAGCAGCTAGGTCATAGCTTTCTAGCAGCACAGTGGTTTCCAATTACTCCTGTTTGTTGCCCATGCTGTGTGCATTGGTGTAGAGGAACTTCATCTGGCCTGTTGGCCGTGTCACCTTCTTAGAGGAACACCCTTTAATTCCTTTGAGGTATTTCACTGGTGTTTCCTGTTGGCTCCTATTACCTCAGGAGCCCCAGGCTCATCTCTGTCTCATCATCTTACCTAAGATGAGCAAAAAGGTTTTTAGAAATCAAAGGGCAATCCAGACAACTAATTTATCAGCTCCTGCGCTAAGTACCTCAGCTCTAAACAATCACCTTATTCACACACTGGCATTTAGATGAGGAAACACTGTGAATATATAGAGTTCATTAACCAGTTCAAGCCAAAAGGAAGTGTAGGCCTATGTGTTTCATCAAAATTAAAGATATATGTTTGAATCCCCAAGAAACCCCATTACATCTGATGTCTGAGAGAGGACAGCATCTTGCAAGACTGCTATTCACCTAGCTTTACCCAACTGTCTTGGAAAAAAGTTCATGATTTCTTTGGTGTCTACAAAGTCCATTAACAAGCACATGGACTCAAAACAGCACATGATGTTAACACCATAGTGTAATATGTCACGTTTTAACCTAAATTCCTCAGGAATTATGTCACATATTTTTCTACATCATAGGTTGTGTGTACTTTGAGCAGTAAAATATTTTTCAGTATTTTGCTGAAATAGATTAAAAATGTATTTGCTTAACAAATTAAAAATCTTTGAATTCTATTAACATCTAAATATGATAAAGACTGGATATTCAGACTCCTTGGAACAAAGCTTACTTTCCAAACATTTTTCTTGCTTGGATGGGCCTACTCATGGAGGAAGGCTGTAAGGATTTAACGCTTTTAATACGTATGTCTTCAAAGGTTAACTTCTGAAACTTTACTTGGGAAAATATGTTGTTATTTAATGATCCTACATTGAAACAGACCTGCTTATGAGCAACCTGTTCTACTGAACGTGTTTCTTATTCAGATGCAGATTTGTTTCCAAATTCCTAAAGATTTTTTTTCTGTCTGAAATCAATGTTAATATCACATAATGGATTTTTAAAGAATCATTGTGAGCTGTATTAGAAGAGTTAATGAACTAAACATAATATGCTAAAATAATATAAAAAGAGGAAAAGCATTTTCTGAATGTTTCTGAAAGTTGTTTTTAGTATATAGTCATAAATGTGTTAAGACATGTACAAAAATGCATTAAAGGATCAGGAATATTTTCCTGCAGGTACTTAGAACCTAATAAATAATAAATATGATGATTAACTACATGGGCAGAAAGTACAGAGCATTACCAAGAAAAAAACTACGTAAAACCTGGCCTTTGAACGGGGGTGCACCATTGTTTTTAATATATAAAAACACTTAAACACACTCAGTTGTGCGTGAAGAGAAAACAAAAGAAGTAAGCGCGCTTGAATTAACACCGTATTTTCAAATGAAACAGATTTAAATATTGCCAAGAGCAGTGAGGGTGTCTGGACTTGAGTGGAAGGGCAGCAGAGCGAGGTGAGCAGAGCACCGTGACGCTGTTCAGTGCTGCTTGAGCAGCCACAGAGGCTTGTGCAGGTCTAGAGAGCTGAAGTAAGACCACCACCAGGGCTTCTCTCTGCCCGGCGGTGACCCCCCTCGAGCCTCGGGCTGCCCGTGTTGGGCCTGGGGGTCAAAAAGTTCCAGCGGGTCATATGGGTCATACATGTCTTCCATCGACCGGCGGAGGAGCTTGTTGGGCCAAGCCTCAACGGGTCGCAATACAAAGTCGACTCGCCCAGCCCGTTTCATCTTGGTGGGAAGGGTGACCCTCTTCATCACCCGGCTGTACCCCGCCGCTTGGGCGCTGATTATGTACGTCCCCGGGGGCAGGAGCCGCCAGTAGTCTCCATCAGCAGCTTAGGAAAGATAAAGACGCAACAAAACAAAACGGAGCTTAGTTTTTAGTCTTGCATCCTTTATAGTTACATACTCATATACACATGCATGCACAAGCATTTAAGGGGCAGGTTTTCAAAAGATCTCAGAGTCAGGGCGGCTCGGATTTTGAAAACGATTCAGGTACAAATGCTTGAATGACAAAAAGAGGCTCCACCTGTGAAAATCTGGCCTTTGGGAGCTAATGGAGTAAAATTCACATACAAAATGTCAGTAACTGCTGTGCCTGTATCACAGCAAAGGGAAGCTTTCCTTCATGCTGCCTTCCCAGGAGTAACAAGAAACAACCCCAAAGAAATCAAATGAATGTATGTGAAACTTAAGAAAATGAAAGCAGAATCCAGGCTGCAATATATATATATATATACACACACACATATATATAGCATGTCTAAGGAGCTAAGAAATCCCTGCTTTTATTATATTACATTCAATTACTTTGCAGACATTATAGCACGTAAGACTATGAAGTCGGAGCTGCAGCTGGTATAAATTGCCATTAGTGTAAAATGGGTGTAAATTTCCTCCAGCTGAAGGTAGAGCCTGCAGGCAAAAGCAGGGAATTTTTAAACAGAATATTTATTCTTCATTTTATATTTCCTTTATTTTGAATGGTAAGTTTCTCAACTCAATTAATATTGGATTAATGCTGTTTTCTCATGGAATTCCTCAGTCTTTTTTAACACTGAAATTAAAAGACATTTTAATCATATGATATTCTTAACCCCACCTAACTCAAGAACAAATACTCCTTTTTCCTTCAGTGTAAACACATTTTTTATTTAATTCTTTAAAGGTCCACTGCCAATGGAAAGCCATTGTCTGTGAAGAAGTTTGAAAAAGACTCTAATTCATGCCAGAGTCTCCTACCAGCCTCAAGAATCTGCATCATCTCCACTATTGTATCCCCTCTAATGTTAGTCTTTTTGAAAGCTGGAAAGCATCCACTACATTATAAACCATTCTGGTTTTCCGAATTGATTCAACAACTATCATTAGAGCAAAATGTTACCATTCATGTCTTCTATTTTGCACTCCTATGGCCTACCCTGTTCTCACTGAAATCAATAATAAAATGAGAACATTAATTTCAGTGAGAGTCTAAAAGCTCAGAACTTTATGACTGTGAAAATTAAGTTGCATATGCCTCAATACATGTTTACCAGCTGGCGACAGGTATAAAGTGAACATAATGCAACGTTCTAGTTTTTTGCATTTGATATAGGTATTGACCAAAAATTGCATATATTTATGTTTTTCCACATGAAAAAAAAAAAGACGATTGTGGGCCCTTCAATCACTGCACTTATTCCAATTGTTAAAGTCAGTGTGGATCCTACTCTGATGTCTACACCTCATGCTCACAATATTTCAGCTAATTTATTCTGTCAGGGCTCCGCACCTCCACATGCTGAGTTACAGCCCTTGAGCAGGGCTACTGCCATATTCCCCCAAATGTGAAACATAAAGGTGGATTTCTGAAACTCATTGAAGACTCATTGGCCTTGATAGACAGCACACAGTTCCAGATGAAAGTTTTAATGGCAAGGACTATGTCATCACAGAGACATGACAGACTCAACAGCCAGTTTGACAATGTCTTCTCTCTTGCTATGCTAGAACCAAACCACAGCTGAGCCTTCAATTCTCCATTAAGGTGCCATTTCTGTCAAATATAACAGGACTTTTTCAGGTTAAGCTCTCAGTGCTTTCGCATTTTGAAAACGCTCAAACTAAAAATATTACCTGTAGTGACATCATGCTGGATGCCCCTGACTGAAATACGAGCATTTTTTATTGGGTTGCCGAACTTATCAGACACAATTCCTTTTATCCCCCGATGAACCTGGCAAAGCAAAGCAAAGTGAGATGGGAGTCGTTTATTACATTACTCATCTTCTACAAGGAAACCCCTGTGGAGAGGAAACAACTTTCAAGAGGTTCAACCCATTATAGAGGCTCTCAAGGCACTAATGCCCCTGCAGATCACATCCTCTATTTCAGGAGCTCCAAGGGGCTTGAGGGAAAGGGATAACTGAACAAGAGCTTTTTTGGGCTAGGTATGTGGCTCTGCATTGAGCGTCTCTTCTCTGCACAGGTCACTGGCACCTCATGATCTGACACAGTATTTAAAGACTGTTCTGAATGTCTGCCCTAGACCCAGAACCACAAAGAAATGAAAAGTTAGGGCTTTAAAAAACAATGACGCTCTAAACAAAGTGAGAAGGCATCACTGGTGCTATAAGTGAAGTTAATTCAGCATGAAGCAACGGCCCTTTCATCTATTCAAAGTGCAGCACTAGAAGATGTGTGAAATAAATCAGAATCAAGCAGAATTATTAGCTTTCAGACAGCTGGCAGTAGAATAAATTAATGCGGGTTGTATAAGGAAACCAGGTCCTTAGTATTAGTTGAAATATATAGTTTTCATTTTCTTTCACCACATCTAAAAGGATCCCAAAGTGCTTCGAGATAAAGAACGAAAACTGAACAACTGTCCTGTGACAGACACACTGTTACTAATATAAAGTACAGCAGAAGCATAAGAATACAATAAGATGGATAATTCTATATTAGTATTCTTTGATTTAAAATCTTTGACACAATGTTTGTTAATAATTCTCAAATACACTAATACAGATTACTCAATATATAATATTTAATAAAATTAGAAATTTGTTAATATTCTTATTTAATATCAGTGAATAGGAATAGGTGAGGGAATAGCTACTTGGAACTCATCATCGCTCTGCTGCCTACACTTAACTGCATGTCAGAATGTCATGATAGCAGTGTGTATAATATCCTTTTTCCCTTCTCTACAGGCACAGAACCCAGCTGCTTGAGCTGATGAGAAAGGTGCTTGGTGACAAACTAAAGAGCGATGTAAATTCTGTCATACAAGGAGGTGCACAAACATCTCACTATATTTGAAGTTCAATGAAACAAAACAAAATAGGAAAAATATAAGTATTTAATCATTAAACTCCTTAGGGTTCTTTTTTGCAACCTGCCGAAATGAAAACATTTTCTATTGGAAATTCTATATGACCTTTAAAATGAAAAGTAATGCCATTTCGATTTTTCCCCTGAACTACTATGATCAGCTTGAGTTGTTCTTTACTTCACTTCCCCACACCCTTCTTTCTCTTCCTCTCATTTTTCCTTCCCCTTTATCCTTTGTCACAAAAGAAGAATAGAAATAAAGAAGAAAGCATCAAAACAATAAAAAAAATATTTGTTTTTCTGTTGGAATATAGAGATGTTTAAAAATACATATTAAAACATCCACTTTTACAGTAATTCTTATTACAAAACTGGAAAAAAAAAGTCTAGTCTAATGGAAGCATTCTATTTAAGGTGAAGCAGTGTTGGCACTGCTCTTGTTAAATAGCTTTTCAGTACTGAGTGGAACTATTCACTGGAGGGTTTAGGAACTACTCAGTATAAGGACTTGAAAACTGTCCCTTCAGAACTATTATGATGAAGCACTGCAATTTGCTTTTCAGCATGGACTTGAGGATTTATCATATGGATAGAGGGTAAATCTGGTCAGAAGAGTCATCTCAGACCAAAATTTAATTTACAGTGTAGACATACTCAAAGTAGTATGACCTCATCCAACTTCAATAATAATTCTGCAATTACAACACAACAGAATAAAAATGATAAAATTGAAATTTCTTGAACAATGTTGATTTGTTTTACTTCAGTAAATATACTATTTTTTGTTTTGTCTCAAGTCTGTGCCACATAAGTTTGGGAGAGTGTTTTGATGCCAATCCTGATGGGGAGAAGAGATTGGTGTTTATGAAAATGAATTCTACTTCTGCGTGTTAAGCCAAGTAGATTTGTACACACACCAAACAGCCTGGTATATATCAGAATAAGAAAAGTTCCAATTGGTTATGGCAGACTTAATCCTTATCGGGAGTAATTCAGTCATCCTTATCTACAAAGTTGTTTTGCTTACTGTCCTGCATTTACTCAAAAAGCTTTTCCGGCATAGACTTCTACAGTATCTCACACTATAAAAATCTTTACATCTTGAAGACTTCAACTGCAATATATATGGATTTAACCCAGCTCCATTTGGATTCACTAAAACTCATTTTCATCAGACAGCTGTAAAATGAAATGAGTTTGGTGGTCTGTACTGTAGACTTTATTGAATGATAATACTTACCACAAGTAGCAAAAGGTTGCTTAGAAAGGCCATAAAAACACTCCTAACAATTTTAAATTACTGCGTACTCTATCAAAATAAGGCATGACAGAAAGCTAATCTACTAATGGCTGAGAGAAAGATGAGCAACTTCTGTTTCTGTGTTCACTTACTTATTGTCAGTGAGGTATTTGTTTTTGTTGAGCTTAAACTTATTATTAAAAATGACTTTTAAATGGCATGTTTTAATGCTCGCAGACAGACAGTTGTTCCTTTAGAAGATCAGGCTTCAGACCTTTTTTAACTACTTTGGTCAAGAAATCAAGCTGAAAAGTGTGGAAACAGCATTTCTAGCAGGATACTTAGAACCTGCCCATTTCAGCTGAATCTAAATCTCCTGCTGCCATGCAGTGGGGTTTGGGCCACAAACGTGGAATATAGAAAGGAAAATGTTCCAAGGTCTCTGGAAAGCAGATCTTGTTGGTTTATTCTTCAAGAGAAAGGCTGATCTTAAAGGTCTTTTCCAGCCTAAATGATTCTATGATTGTATGATTCATATTTTTCTGAATATATGTGTTTTCTCTAGCATTAGATTTTGGACAGTTGATTTATAAAGCATTTACAGACAATTCCCTTTTTCACTGTTTTCAAGGCCCTTACAGTTCTCAATCTCCATCCTTCCTGCAACGCAGGCAAAGTATTTTCTGTGTGCCCTGTCAGACAAACTGAGATACTGGAGGCCCTGGTGGAACGTGATGGTCGATTCGATGCCATCTTGATAACTAACCCAGGAAACGGTAAAGAAACGAATATTGACAAATAATCAAGAAGAAAAACTGTAAGCACAAGGTCTGTAAAAGCAGAGCCATACCATTTCCATGTAATTCAGAAGGGCATCTCTGTTTTCATGCCAGATCGTAAACAGTTCTTCCTCCAAAGGAAACTTTTCGCATCCTACCTCCACAGTAACTTCAAAGCAATTTGTGTGAAGGTAATTAAAGTCTGCCATACCTACAGGTTTAAAAAGAAAAAGGAGAGATCATGAGCAAGCCATCTAACCCTTAACTGGAGCTTTGCCGTTGCAGTCAGCGGAATGCAGTCCCTGTGGGCGTGGATTAATAGATTGTAGAGTGCATGGCCAATATATAAAAAGTATTTAAGAAATTCAGGATTCTACAACTTGTTTCACCTATGAATTAACTAACGACAATGACACTTCTTTCAGGTGAAAAAGCATAATTTTAAATTATTATTCACCTGACCAAGAAGTAGCGATAGAGAGATAAGGGTTGGTTAATCATGGTGATTGGATAATCGGCTGTATCAGAGGTGATTGCCAAGGGTCGATGACCTTTTGCCATTAGTATGTTCAAAACTGTTTCTGTACACAAGACATTGCATATGATTTTCAGAAGAATGTTAGCCAAAGATATTTAAACCTAATTCTCACTTGTGCCCCAAAGCTCTTGAAAGGCCTAGTTTCAACATAATTATTTGGGGATCCCGCTGAGTCCTATTTGAAAACGCAACTGAAGCACTGCTGAACATTTTATGTACACTGATATTTCATCCATGCCAGTATTTCAGGAATCCTTAAGAAAGCTAAATACTATTATTGAAGAAATCAAATTAGCAACCTAAGCACAAATGAATGGGATGTTTGTCTCCGTTGTAGTTTTCCCTGAAAATGAGTTTATTTAAACAGACTGAACAAGCAGCGCTTGCATGGCCTGCAAGATGCGTTCAAATTCATGCCGCTGAGGAATGAGAGCACAGCATTAAGCATTTATTTCTACATTTCAGATTTGAAAACTAGAATGATATTATATGCCATAACAAATTTGACCTTTGTATAACTTCCTAACTTCACAGGTCTTATCAGGGCTGAATACCTCCCATGGTATTTGAATATAAATATTACCAACGTACATTTTGCTACTTGAATCTCCTAGAAGTTACTTTTTACAGGGGTCTGACCTAAAGCAAACTCATATGAATGAAATTATTTCTTTCAAACCCTTGTGTCTCATAAAGGTCACATAGAGGTTTTACCTCACTTGATATGATGGTAAAGTGGTTTTACCTCCAGTGAAGCTGTACCACTCAGCACCATTTATAATACCTCCGCGCTTTACAAAATTTCCACCGCAACGATGTTCGGATCGGTCCGAGATGACTGGATGTGCATCTGCATAGGCTTTAGCCAGCAGCTTAAACATCTGTAACAAAAGGGTTTGAAATACATTTGCTTTTACAAACTGCAAACACTATCATTGCTGCTAGTAGCTATTGCTGTTGTAAGCCCAGACAATGAGCCATCGTGCACCCTTGAGGCTGATGAAAGGGGTGAACCTCCATGCAAGCATATTCTGCCAGGAAATTTTCGCTTGTCGTCTTCTCCAAGGCCCTTCTGTGCAATCCAATATATTTAGCCAGAGATAACATTAAATACCAGTGCATTTTGTGATACTCGGCTTCAACCTACTACCGGGGGCAGGAGTAAAGGTCTTGTTTGGTTGCACTTCAAGTCCCAGGTTTTAAAGTTTAAATTAGCTCTCCCCATTACGTTTTAGCTCTTGCTATTTTTAGTCTTTTAAAAATACCTACACCAGCCTCAGCCCAGCCAGATCTTTTCATTGGCCACTGCTGTTTAAAATAGACGGTGTCGATTTGCTTTGCACTTATCGCTCACACAGGACAACCTGCCTGTTTGAGCTCAATGACAGTTGCTTCTTTGTGGGGCAGAAACCATTCCTAAAAAGTGAAGGGTAGGATGTGATGATGGAGGATGTCACCACTGATTTCCTAGGAGTGATGAGGAGCAGAGGAGTCACCACTCAGAAAGGAAAAGTGACAGGTACATGTAGTGAAGACAGAAGAAACAGCAGTGATCTGCAGAAACCATTTATTTGAAACAGGTTCCTGCAGGTTTTTTCCAATGTTTATTCCAAATTTGCACAGAAATCCCCCCTTCTCCTTTTTGTCTATTTGAACCTCATCTACAAAAGCTATAATTTCAGATTTCAACATTGACATGACAGCAGTTATCAGATCCTACCAGGTCCTATTACTCAGCATCATGAGTCTCATTGCATGTTGCTTAAGACAACATGTGTAAAAAGCTGGGTGGCTAAAATCCTATTTTTAGAAGTGATCCTAAAACTTTATCCTTGATGTTGTCATCAAGGACAAAGACCAAAATGACCAAGCATATAACTTTGAACTAATGTTTATGAATGTTTCTAATAATCACAAAGATGATTCAATTATGGGATCAGGTGGGTGACCAAGGAAAGGTGGAGAGTGATATGTAAGTGTAAAGACAATTTACCAAAATACTTCTGATGACCAGACACTAAAAATCCTGACTTTATATATAATGTTTTTGCCTCTCGCTTGAGTTTCTATGTGTCTAAGTATTGCTCAGCCCAGACAATTAAGTCTCCTTCAAAGTTCTGCTAGAAAAAAATGAATGTTAATTAACTATGTTAAGAAGAACTCTTACTGCCAATAATTTGGGGCTAGGCCTGATATCTTTAATCTTTATGAGAATTTGGGTCCAGTTATGAAACTTCTGTGGAGGATGTTTGCTAAAAGTTTAGAAGGTGCCTATGTGACTTAGGAGTGTGTTCCTCATCTTTCCCAAAGACATCTGCAGATGTTTTATTTCCAGTGACTAAGTGTTTCTTCTCTTGTTTCACACCAAGAAGCATAAGACTTTTGCCTGGCCACTGGTGCAAGGGAATGAAGATGGGTGGTAGTGGGAAGAGAAAGTGAGAAACCCAAAATCAAGTGAACTTGATTAAAAAAAAAAGTTAAACTTTAAAAAAAAAAAGTTAAGATGTGCTCAAATAACAATCCATTTATTATCTCTTAGCAGCTAAGGAATGACTAGTCACAGACCTCAAAAAACCGTATGACATTTAGGTGTAATACAGTGGAACAAAAAGGGAAAAAACAGAGTTGTCCTTGACTTTGGAAGCGTGATGTTTCATTTGGTAAGATGGGGTCAGTGCTGTTACCTTGGCCAGCACTTTTACCCCACTGACTGCCACAGGTTGTGTTTTTAGAGGGAGGGAAGGGAACATTTCCATTGACCAAGGGGAGTGAACTCGACTTGGTGTACACCCTTCTGCTCCTCTGAACACCGGCATCAATGCAGTTTCTTGTGTAACACAAAGCAACAAAAGCCTGCTAAAACATCTCCACAAATGCCAAAAAATGGGAAAGTTCTGGATTAGCTGAGCTGAACCAGATGTAAGAATATGAGTGCAAGGACATGGTGCAGCTTTGACACTCCAGCAGGTACCAGCCCAGGCTGCGACACAAGCTAGAGAGGCTTGAAATCCGCAGTGTCTTGGAGCAGCTGCCGAGAGGATCCTCGTGTTACCGCACATACACCGTGAGGGACACAGGGAGGTGGCAGCACCCAGACACGTTGTCAAACAGGGCAACGTGCTTTGAATGTACTTCACAGAATTTGACTTTTTAATTTCTGGCCATTGCATCTGCACTGCAGCATTTCAGCCGGGGCTGCAGCCAAGGGGGCAAACTTGCCTCGTTTCCCCTTGCATGGCAAATTCGACAGGTCAGCGGTCAGAACAAGGGTTATGGCTAATGTATAGCAGCTAAAACAAGCTGCTGTATTTCAGGATGCAGGTTCCCCGGCAGCAGCAGCTGCAGATGACGTTACTTAAATGCAGGCCACTTCACAGCTACAGGTTTTGTAACTTTCTGGGAAAAAATTAAAGTGATACTGATAGTGTTGTTAAAGGTTCCTGTGCTGACTCATTTGAAAAATTAGCTGTATGTTCAAACAGATGTATGTTTAAATATATGTAAATGTATTTAAATAAATTAAATATATATAAATATAAATAAATTAAATATATATAAACATACATGTCCCATGTATGTTTTAAACTTCCGAGTTTGTAGTTAACTTCCCAGGCTTTGCAGCCACTGACTATGCAGCAGTCATCAGCATCAGGTCCTCTGCCTTACATCGTCGCAAACCAGGGATGCCATCAGGGCTTGCCCAGCTGTGCGCTGCGTTGGGATGGAGCGCTTTGTCCGTGTGACTGCATTGTTTCACTGAAAACACACATGCTGGCCCTGACGGGAGATGACGGAGGGACTGCGGTCCTCCTGTCCCACAGCTGAACTGTTTGATAAGGCACACGTGGCCGTATTCCTCCACCATCTACACGTAAATCAGGATACCCCCAGCCTGGGCGATGGGATCTAAGGCACAGGTTTATGATTTCCCCTAGTCCTCAGCAAGAGCTTCTGTAGCTTTCATTAAAACCCACCAGGTATTTCTTATATGGGCTTTTTACTGTGCAGTGCCTGGTTTATTTTACTGCTAAATCATTGTCATACACGCATAGTCAGTAGGTATTGCACAGCTCAGAAGAAACGGAATCATATAGAAAATGTTTAATAGTCATGAATATTTAAATATTTAATAGGTGCTGGTGAGAACTGTCACTTTAGAAGTCAGCCCAGACGTATGCTCAAAGATAATGGATGTTTCAAGTCAAAGGTCAACTTCTGACTATTTTCAACCATTGTTTGTTACATAAAGAACCACTTTTTCTTAACAGTCCAGGGACATTATTAACATCAGTTAGAAGGCTGAAAAACTAGCTGTTCTCCTAGTGGGCATGTTGGCAATGAATACTAGATTGAGGAAACCAAAGGGAAATAGGAAAGATGGCAAAAAATTTCACAGAAGATTTACAGTGAGTCCCAAATGGGGAACTTTACAGGGACAGAGAAGGAAAAACCATTCCCATTCATCTGACCTGGAATAAATGTGATGAGGCTGCCACCATATGGCAGCCAGTCTTTTTTTTTCCTACAGATTTCAACGGAAAATAACACTGCTGGCCAGGCTTGTTCCTTTTCTTTTGGAAATCACTGGTAAACATATCATAGCCTTCACCCTTTAAACAGTAAAAAACCTGGCTTTTCCTAACCTGTGAAACCATGTTTGGCCTCATAAAACATGGGTAAATCTTTACAGAGCAAGTTGACAGTGTGCAAATGATCCTGTATTTTAAAGCACATTAAATAAGTGTATAAATTATATTATATATGTATATATACATGCATTACATATAAAAACATGTGATCTAGTCTATATTTCATACATACATGCATACATATACACAGATCTATACAATCTAAAAAAATCAAAGTTTGTTACTTGTTAAAGGAAAAAGTTTCCATAGTTCCACGCGTGGAAACCATACTGATACACTCACCCGGCAAAACCAATATTACCTTCTCATCAGGTGTAGGGGAGAACATTTTTTCTTCCATAGGATGCCTTGAATAGTCATAAGGATAGGTCACAACCAGCTCACCCCCATGGAGGCTGGCAGAGAGCACAAATGGGATAGACCTCAACCACTTCATGACTGCTTTTGTCTCAGGGGCCACCTGAAATCCAGGAGAAAAAATCAGCTGTGAGTAGTCATGCAGCTCTGAAGGGATTTGGTCCTGGGCAGGATGAAGCCCAGTGGAGAAGGGAGTGTGTCAGAAAGGAGAATGCTGAGGCTCTTTGGCTTTTCCATCCCAAAAGTTAATGGGGGAAGAGCATCATTTTGCTCCAGGGAACAGATGAGACACACTGTTCACTATGGAAAAACTGGAAAAAAAAAGAAAGAGAACCTTTGAAAGGAGAACAACTTTTTATTACAGTGATATTTTCAGCAGTTAAAAGTGATGATGGCAGCATTTTGGACTTGAAAAATCGTGGCATTGTACCACTACTTGCAAACCAGACTCCTTATCTACTTTCATTTCTGAATCAGCGGGATTGACTTTGGATGGATAAATTGGACTACAGGGATCAATTTGTAATTCTCAGCACTTGTTGGAAATAGATTGTCTCATTTGCTCTCCTGTGGTCCAGGCTCCTCTGCAAATAAATGAAAACTAATGTATTTAAAGCACAGCGATGACTGCAGTTTACCTGCAGCGAAATGCTGCAGGTAAGTCACGAAATTCGTCTTTCTGGCCGCCCGCGCTCGGTCACCGCGGC